CTGGGAAGACTGCGTTCTTTGCATTCTCTTCATTGCTGTCCTCCCGTTTGGAACCCTTTCGGCTACGTTTCTCGGGCTTTTGTGTTCTGCGGGGGCTGTCTTTCGAGCCAGCCAAGGAGTCGGGTGGTGAGGGGTCTGTCAGTTGGGGGGCTTCCTTCTGCGGTCCTGCTGAGGAATCCGACTGACCTCGATGAAGGCCTGTCTCATCGGACCTTCCTGCATCCGTTGCCTCAAATGAGCCATAGAGAGAGAGGACTGGGGGGTTTAGGACCACATTTGGCATCGGATTCCTCCGAACAATGGTGTAGCCTGGATGTAGAGAGTGCAGTAAATAGGGGGGGGGAATTAAGGTCTGCTTTTCGTGCGTAAATTCAAGTAAGTAAAACTTCGAACTGTATACATTGTCATCAGTAAGAATTTATAGAGGGAACGGATTTATTTTAGAAGCAACACTAGGTCATATGTGTGTTAGTGGGGAGCTACTCCATACCCAGTGTTTTCCTGTATTTAACACAGTCTGATACCAAAAGTCCCGTAATTGCTCAGACCAAGAAAATTTTAAGGAAATAAAAGTCGAAAGAAATGGGTGTCTGATTCGAAAAAAGTTTAAAATATTCATTTATGGACTCTATTTATTTCCTGTAAAAACGTTTTTAAGAGCTAGTCCTCCGAGCTGAAAGCTTCTGTTACATTACAGTTCCACGCTCGATACAGCAAATAATGCAAAGAGCCAAGTACGTTTATTTGGGAAAGTCTCATCCCGAAACTTTCAGCAAAACATTCTCCGTCACTGTAGATAAAACTGGATACGCAAAACAGATAACATCGAAGCAAAATAGGCGCGCCGATGTACGCATGAGTAAATTCCCATGGGCCAACAAAACATGGTGGCTCAATTTAAATAGCCCGCTTCCATTGATTGGGGTCATTATTGAAGCGTGGGAAAATTAAAAGTCTTCTGAAATGTTTTGATAAGTTTAGTCCGACATTACATACCGCAGGAGAGTTTTGGGATGAACATGGAACAGATTGGTCTCCAACATACTATAATCCTCGAGTAGACTTTGGGTTTCTTCGTTAAAGGCCAAAATACTAGACTGCTCATTTCCGATTCTCTGCAACCAGGCCTTTTAAGGAATATTTTGGACAACTGGTCAACATACTGCATATTTTTCTATAAAAATGCATATATTCTTCAAATATTTTTAAAGTCTGTCACATGCGATCTGAACTTTTAGGTATTACTGGTTCTAATGTTCTGGCATTCATTAAGTCAGACTTTCTAGGCAAAGAAGTCAGTGGCCTATCAAAGCCCTTCAGCACGGCTAGACAGCAGTTGCCGTTGTCACATTTGAAGCTTGGTGGAACTAATAGGGTTTTTTCACGCACTTCCTTCCTTAAAATTTTCCATACCTTTCCTGCGACCCAAATCACCGAAGAAAAGTTTCTTGATATGTTTTCGCTGCTCACACAGGTATTTTTGCTCCTTTATTACGTCTTTGGAAAGGCCATAGCTTTCCCATAGCCATATTTAAAGGAGCTTCCTTCAGACAGTATCTTGTAACTCCCACTGGTTTTGATTTCGAAAATATCTCACCTTCGAAGTATGTACTGCAGTCCGTTTATAGACAATGAAGACGGGTTTGCTGCTCCTTTCTCTAAATTTTCAAACAACCACCGTTTGTTAAAAAAGTACGCTCATGTTAGTCTTTGTGGCATTTGGTCCTACATTTGCAACTGAATTTACTGCCCTTCCTACCTTACTCTCATGTTCCTAGCGTACTAACTCCATCTGAAAACTTACTAATTGCGCTAAGAATAGACTTTCTGCGTCCATTTTTCTTGTCTCTATGCAAAGGACTGACTGCTTGTGATTAGTATCATGTCTACTACTTGACCTGGACAGGGGAAACGCAATTGCAGTAAATATGAGACTCCTTACCACTGCCGTCATCGACAATAGTTGCATTGTCCGGAAGCTTCTTTCCAGCGTGGGCCATATGCAGGCGAGGGTTTGGGTTGGCCGAGTGTCGATTTCGACTCCTTCTAGAGCTGAACCACATGTTACAGCCCTTTATGGTACACTTGTGCATCTCTCGGAGGTGTACTGCACTGTAGTGGATCTTGAGGGCTCCTGAAATATCAAATTACGGCACAGAGTGAGTTTGACAGTCGTAGTGGAGGGTTCAACAATAGGCATGTGATTTGATACTTATTTCGCTTGTTAAAACTGGAATAAACAGTACGTTAAAAAATTGTATGCATCGAAAAATACGATCCGGAGGCAGCCTTTTCTGTGACTAGGTGCGTGTTCTGAGAAGTAAACTGGTAGTATGTTGTGTTTTGTTTTTCAATCTGACAGTGCACACAGCAATAAGTTAGTGTGTAAAGGAAGAATGAGCTGGTTGCCATCTGACTCCTTCGGCAGACCACGATGCCTTTACTTGTTTAGTATAGTAACATTAATTTTTAATATCAGAAGAAAACGCGAAAATCGAGACAGGCTACGGAGAAGGGAGCTGTTGAGAAAAGACACCCAACCACTACTACATCATATTCAGATAGTATTGCCGGCAAATGCAAGAGAGACTGTAATGGCCATTTCTGGCTCTTTAGTCGTCATCAGCCAGTCATACCCAGACTCAAGTGGAGTTACACCCGAGCCTAGATTTCGCGACCTTTTTGATCAGAGCCAAACGCCCTAACCATTGAGTCACGAGTTCGTTGTCTCAGCGGTTTAGGTCACGGGATATTGACAGGTGAGTTCAG